TCACTCACAAGACTCTAAGTGACAATAAATCACACAGGTGCTAATGTGACATCATGTAATCATAAAAAATAACTTAGAAACACTAAGGGTCTTGGTTGAAGGTAACTTGATATATTTAAGTTAGAAACAGTTATCCTAAAGTAACCAAAACAACAAACCAGAACTTCATGGTTTGGTTTTTCCATGATTTGTTGCATTGTTCTTAGATGACTGTAATGGTTAACCTGGATGAATAAGGATAAACCATGTTGATTCCTGTATTTACCTGTTTTAAAGCTCCCATTCCTGAGAAAACCCCATTAAGCCTCATTCCTTATGAAAAGGATGAATTTATAGTTTAAGAATGATTAATGAAATAATTTGAAGTAATTAATGGAGATCTTGCTGAGCACAGTGAACAACATTGAAACAACAACCTCCTGCATTGGATGTATCTTTTAGATCATCATAAAGAAAAACAGATTACTTAGCAGGCAGCATAGATCAGCTGCACTCCACCTTTACATCAATCTTGAAAATGTATTTTTAGAAAAATGTAAAACTTCGGGGGGAAAAGGTCACTTACCAGTCGCCAGAGCTGTTTGCTATGTGTGGTATGTATGCACTTTGGCTCTTTAGAGGTCCAAATGTCAGAGGTATCCAAGATCATAAAATGCAGGGGATTTTTGGCCCTCACAATATACAAACACCTGAATTTAAACAACCTGATGTGAAATATGACCGAGGTTTCTGTGCTTATGAATTAACATATTGTAAGCACGTAGTCTTGACCTAGTAGTCCATGGTAGTTGCAGTCCATATGTAACTGAAGTTAACTTGCATTCAAACAGACTAGGGCACAAAGAGGAAACAAGGACAGGAGTCCAGAGAAAACCAGGTTCTGAGGACATCCCCTCCAAAACAGTGCTCCAATAAAATAAAATAAAATAAAATAAAAAAAGAAAAAAAAAAAGAAAAAAGTAAAAAAAGACACATAGTAGCTGTGGAAAGGCAGCTGAATACCCATCAAGGACTGTAAAAACCTTGCTAGGGCACACAGAGATGTGGTCAGGAATGCTAAGCCTCAGAACTAAAACTGGCCAAAGATGTCAAGAATAACAGGAAAGGTTTCTACAGATATGAGTAGTAAGCAGAAGCACAGGGAAGATACAGAGCCATTGCCTAACTAGGCAGGGAAACTACTCACTAGTCATGCTGATAAGGCAGAGGTTCTCAATATCTTCTTAACTTCCACCTTTACCAGAACAGCTGGACTGCAGAGCACTGGATCAAGTATCTACAATGCATGTGTCAACCTACCAGTAGGTAAACAACTGGTCTGCAGCATCTTACAAGGGCTCAACTTACAGAAATCCATGGGGTCAGAAGAAACCCACCCTAGATCAAGGGAAGTGGCTGACATTGGTGCAAGGCCACTCTCTTTAAGAAGTCTTGACAATCTTGATATAATAGACATTTCTCATGCTGAGAGCAATCAATCACTGCAAGATGCAATTGGACAGGGTACTAGATAGTTTCTTCTGGGATCCTGTTCCCATGAAAGGTTGGAATGAAAGATCTTTCAAGGTCCTTTCAAGCACTAAAGATGGCTGAACTAAGGGATTCAATTGCTAAAAATTTATATCTGTAGCTACACTGGGATTTTCTCAGCTGTTTCCAAAGCTGGACAGTTCCACAAGAGGCTGCATCAGCTAAACCTTTTGGTCAGCTGTAAACAAAGAACTGCAAATCACACCTGAGGTTCAAGCTATGGAGTAAAACATTTCTTCAAGGATGTGAGAGAGATTTGCACGGTGGACTGCATTACAAAGGAAAGCAGGTTTTTATTTCCATCTTACTGTTACCTAGTATATTAGAGTAAAATCCTTCCAAGAGTAGTGGAATGCCTGGAAAACTACCTCCAATACATTCAGTAGTATGTTGTCAGTTTCCTTTATACTTTTAATGTAGAGTGCTGTAAATCTCCTGTGCCTGCTGGGGCCAGAAGTGAGTTAGGGACTAGAAAGCAGGGTCAGAATTTCTGAGGAGAGGTGAACTGGAAAATCTCCCTTCTGCAACTTGGTCCTACAGATCGAAAATGGGCCTCTAACCCGTGGGAGAGAACAAGCACAACAGGAGTCCTTCATACTTCCATGAACTCTGTTGATGAGATGCACACCTCCTGAGGCACAGGACAGTCATCTTCATACAGCTCTCCAGGAAACACAGAAAAAGAACTTGAATGCTACAACCTTCAAAAGGTGTAACGAGAAGAGCTCAGTTGCCATGGCCAGTTCCAATATAGAAAGCTGTCTTCCAGCAAGTCTGTAAGTGCCAAGGCACAGCAAGGCCCATACACATTGCTCCATGCCATCGGGGGTCCTCAGCACTAAGTGCTTTGATCTGTGGGACTGGATGTGACCAATTGTGTAGAATGGTCCTCCACAAGATTATTCTTTCTGAACTGAGAGATTGATTTGATGGGTGGACTGTTAGATGAGGGTAGTGTTCAATGGCTTAGAATCCCAAGGGACATCAGTGACATGTAGGGTCCATATCAAGGCCAGTATTATTACCTTCATTAATGACACAGATGAAGAGACTGAGTGCACCCTCAGCAGATTTGCTGATGACAGCAAGCTGAGTGGTGTGGTTGACACACCTGAAGGATGGGATGCCATCCAGAGGAATCTGGGCAAACTCAAGAAGTGGGCCCATGGGAATCTCATGAGATACAATAAGACTGAGTGCAAGGTGCTGCACCTGGGCAACCCCTGGTAGGAATCCAGGCTGAGGATGAACAGATGGAGAGCAGCCCTGCTGAGGACTTGGGGGTGCAGGGGATGAGAGGCTGGACACGACCCAGCCATGTGCACTCACAGCCCAGAAAACCAAACGTGTCCTGGGCTGCATCCAAAGCAGAGTGGCCAGCAGGGGAGGGAGGGGATTCTGCCCCTCTGCTCTGCTCCTGTGAGACCCCACCTGCAGGGCTGCATCCAGCTCTGTTGTCCCAGCACAGGAAGGACATGGACCTGTTGGAGAGAGTCCAGAGGTGGGACACTGAGTTATCAGAGGAATGGAGCACCTCTCTTATGAGGAAAGGCTGAGAGAATTGGGATTGTTCACCCTGGAGAAGGCTTAGGGTGACCTAAATGCAGCCTTCCAGTACCTGAAGGGAGCCTACAAGAAAGATGGAGAAAGACTTTTTATAAGGGTATGTAGTGACAGGATAAAGGGGAATAGCTTCAAACTGAAGGAGAGCAGGTTTAGGTAAGATACTGACAAGAAATTCTTTACTGTGAGGATGGTGAGGTTGGAACAGGTTGCCCAGAGAAGCTGTGAATGTCCCATTGTGGCACTGTGACGCTACCACACAGAGAGAAAGACTCACACCTGACTCCAAGCAGGTCGAGCAGCAAAGACCTCGTTATTTACATTGCATGTCTATTTATAGAATCCCAACAATGAGCACAGATTGGACAGTGATGATGAGACCTCTTGACTCCACTGGTTCCATCACAAGTCAATCAATGCTCGCTTTCTCCAAAGAGGAATGCAAAACAATCATTGTTTAGAAGAAAGAGTCTGAGAAAGTGTAAAAGAATGTATCAACAATCAGAAGGCTAGAACACAGGTGCAACACCCCATTCCTGGAAGCATTCAAGGCAAGGTTGAGTGGGGCTCTGAGCAACCTGGTCTAGTGGAAGATGTCCCTGTCCATACAGGTAGCTGGAACCAGATGATCTTTAAGGCCTCTTTCAACCCCAACCATCATCTGATTCTGTGATTCTATGATACAGTCTCCAATTATGGAGCTTGGGGAAGAGGAAGATCTAAGCAGCTCAGTTAGTGGAATTGAGAAGAACACAGAAATTCAGTATCACAGGCAGTTCTCAGGCTTTTTTGGCTGGTAGGGATTCTCAGGTGCTGAGAAAAACTACAGAACTCAAGAACTTTAGAACCCAAGTCTCATCTCTTGGTGTTACGGTGGCCTTGGAACTGCCACTGCAGAGTGGGCAAAGGCCTCCATTTAATCTGATCTTCTGGTTGAACAAGTTCTGGTGCAACCATGTGTCTCTTGATTGGGTGAGGCTCTTCCCGACTCAGTTTTGACAAAGAAAGGGGTCATGCTAAATAGAAATTGGCCTTGGCCCAAGATTCAGAAAATCCTAAATACTAATATCTGAAGAAGACCATCACTTTCACTAGGATACTTCTCCCATTTTAAGCAACAGGAAATTAACATGCCAGGGGTGTGTAACTTCCTGTTGCAAAAGGAAGCAAGAAGCAACTGCATGTCACTGTTGTCAAGTCAGTCACATCCTCAAGACAGAAGAACATTTAAACCTGTCCTTACATGGAGCTATGGAGTATGATTCAGCCAACATGTACGGAGTATTTAGACCCATTTCTAATAAGGAAAGGAAAAGCAGCAGAGGCTATGCCCCCATTCAGAAGGACACTGGAATTGACAAACACAAATCTGAAAAGTAATCATACAGGACTCATTGGAAAAGAGAATTACATACTCAAGAGCTAGCCATAACAAAAAATAATGGACAAACGTTAAGAGGCATCTAAAATGCCTCCATCACTGGGCACTGAGTATGAAAGAGGGAGGGGTAGGGTGAAAATGCAGGAGTATACTGTCTTTGAATGCCTGTAGTATATACATCTCTGTTAGTTTTTGTAGTATAAAACAGCTGATGTCTACCAAATTATTGCTCCAATACAGTATTCTGTTGCATCTGCAGTATAGTCACTACAGACTCTTTGCTGTTTCTCTTTTGATCAATGTTAACATCAGAATATTTAAAAATGTGAACGTCCTCTACTTTCCCTGCACTTGTAATGGTATCCAGTGTTTAATTCAGCAAGAAACAAATCTCTTTTCAAAACAACAGCCAAAACTAAGTCAGGTCTTGTCTGCATGGAAACTGGCCTTTTCAGGATGTTTGATTATGTATTTTTGATTTGATACGTGAAAAAGAACTAGTAGCAAAACACTGAAAACAAAACTCAGAGAGGAAAGTTAATTTATTTGTCTAAAACATCAAACTAAGTTGAGATACCTTAGTTCAGTCAAAGCTTGTTCAGTTTCCTCATAAGCCTAAACTTCATAAACAAATACTCCAAGTCCGTCTACCTACAAAAATAGGATGGACAATTCTTGACTTTCTTCAGTTATCAAGTTAATTTACAAGTCCTTGAAGACAGATGAAGAATAGGAAGTGATCCTATATCCTAATACACTCCACCATGTTTCCCAAGTGTCCTGGAAAGGAGGAATATGAGCCTTCTTTGGAAAGGTGCGTTGGAAGGCTTATGACCATCTCTTGGAGACAGGATATGCATTTACATCACCACGATTGCCATGGTACAGAATCCTGGACTGCTACTTTCACACACCATGACCTATGATCTGAGAGTTGTAGTCTGCTGTCTCCATTCGCAGAATGTAGGGGATGATGCTGTCAATCTGAACATTTCCAATCAGTCCTGCGAAGAACAGCTCTTCAGTGATGGCAGCACTCATCAGCCTAAGAGCAGGCAATCGGAGAAGAAGTCTAGATAGTCTGGAAAGTAAGTTTGGTGAAAAGTATTACTAAGCAGATCACAGATTTTGGTGGTGTTCTCCATGATGTTATTAGCAAAAGAAGAGGAAAAAATGACAAGGGACACTACTGGTCAAAGTTTGCTACATTTAGTTCATGAAAGGCTTAAATATTTAAATCAGTAGAGCATTAAATTTATGTTTAGTCATGTCTTGAACAGAAAATGTGCGAATCCCTGTCAACTACATGTACTATGTCTGTTTGGATTTAAGACTAAATGAGGAAATATTCCAAATAGATGCAATTCAAATTGAATGTTACCAATATTTCTGATATTTAATTTGAGAAATGAATAATGAGATGAAAAATACTACGCATAATATATATGACCACATGCATAATATTTCAAGTGTTTCTAAAGGTAATTTCTTAACTTTAAGGAGGTAAGAAGGAAATGTATATATCTATTACATTAAAATATATATATCTAATACATATACTATTACATGAAAAACTGTACAAATCAATGACTCTGAAAAGAGAATCAATCAAGTAAGCATCTAAGTTTACAGACCTGTAAGTATCATCTGGATACGCCTTTGTTACATAGTCTTGGAACTCCATGTAAGCTTTTTCTTGAAATTTCTCAATCTGTACCACATTTTCTAGACCTGGGTGATCTGAAAAAAAACCCCTCTTCTTTGTTATACCCGTTCTACAGAAAATGAACTAAAATCCATACAGACTATCCAGCTGCCAACATACTGAAAATAATGATGTGGTAGCTGCAGCAACTTCAGTTTTAGTGGTAGACACTACTTTACCTCCTTATATTTCTCTTTCTTTACATTTCTATTTTACTTCCCATAAATAAAATCAGACATTTTAAAGGGTTCAAATAAATTCAGTGCTTGCAATGTTTACATTAATCTTGATAATACAACTCTGTTCTCTGTGTAGCAGTAAAACAGGATTATTTCAACACACTGACATTTTCCGGAATTTTGGACGCACAAATAATATTTAACTGAACAGTTAAGATCAGTAGAAGAAGTAGAAAAAAAAGCTGTGAACTGTCTGTTTCCTAAGACATGCAGAAAACAGCATTGAATCACAGAATACGCTGAGTTAGAATGGACCCATCAGTATCATTGACCATCCAACTCCTGAGCCTGCACAGGACATCCCAAGATTCACACCATATGCCTGAGAGCATTGTCCAAATGCTTGTTGAATTCAGATAAGCTTGTATGTAGCAGACTGTTCTTGCTCAACTATTTGGTGCAAAAATTTCAAATGTGCTAATCATAATTTTAGCAGTGATTTGAACTTACTTGAAATGTAAGTGATGCTAAAATGAAAGGACATCAACCTAACTGCCAAGTCACTCTTGGAAATTATTATCCAGTAATTCTGAACTCTCTACATGGTCTATAATTTTATTATCCATCTATCTGAACGTAAAAATTTTACTGTAATACCAGCATGACAAATCATGTAGATGAGGAGTTAAGAGTTGATGTGCAAAATGCATCACTTCATGCTGCTGCTTTTAGAACCATGTCAGGAACACAGCAAGAAGTCAACTTCTGGAAGCAGCAGTTTGAAGACCACTGCTTGTACATTTGTAGCCATTTAGAAAGATGTCAAGTCTTCTTGGCACACCCTTTACATTAATCTCTTTGCCCAAGGCTGTCCTGTGGCAATCAAACAGCTGGCTTGGCACAGCTCAATCACCAGGGCCTACTAAAGCAGAGGTTCTTACCTTAGAGCTCTGCTGCATGCACAGCCCAGCCCCATCCTGCAGCACAGCAGTAAAATCCCTGCAGTTATAATTTCTGGCCTGTGAGTCATTGCCAGGACATCCCTTCTGTTCAAGGTACCAAACATGACTTTAACAGGTACAAAGATTTTGTTATATGGCCCAAGGATGAAGAGTCCTGACAACACATTGCCATTAAAGCAACTACTCATTAGTAATGTGAATTTGAAAACATCAGCTAAAGAAAATTTCTCTCAATCACGTGACCGGGTAAGAGTCTTTTTCCAAGGTGTTTTTCCTTCTACCTTTTGTGTTGTCAAATATAATTGGAAAGAGACAAACTTCAGACTAAACCAGTAAGTAAATACTACTTTGCAAGTGCAAGGTTCCTCAAGAAGTATTTTTTGGTGTCTAATAGGACTGATTTTTCCAGAAAGGCTAGAGGATTCTATTATAAATCCTAGTGGACATCATTCTAAAAAAATGGACTTGAGGTATTCTCATATAATTTTGTTTCTTTCCTGAAGTAACCTGTACCAGTTCTTAGTATAGGAATTCCATGTAAAGGATTATTTTGGGTTAAGGACCACTTGCAGGAGAATTACATCTCCTGCAAGTGTTATTTATTAAAATTAAACCAGCAATCACCCTCCGACCATTCACTTAGAGAAAACTTCTTCTGTAATAATGGTGTATTTGCAACGTTTCAGTCCTCAGCAGAAAAGGAAAACTGCAAAGATTTTCAAGCATGCTTGATATTGTGTTTAAACTTATTGAGTTTAACGGTGAGTCCTGCTTATTAGGAAACTGGAACTGTCTCAGTGATACAGTGAACTGTACAAGCAAACACATAAAACCATGCAAGACTCTCCTATCATAAGGACTGACAGCAGGATTCTGCTTTACAGTAAAACACCTGGGATCTGATTTTCCTTAGTGATCCACAATAGAAATATCCTCTGGAAATTTATCTTGCCTGAAGGGTTCTGACTCTACTTATATCACCTTTTATTTGCATGAACGTCTTTCATCTCAGAAGTGTTTTATTACTGATGTATATATAAAATTATATATATAGGTAGCAATGGAAAATATGCACGGTTTTGTTTGTGCACTTAGATGAGTACCATGAATTCCTGCTGATGCTGCCACTTTTACTAGTAGATACTACATATAAAAAAGATCATGTAAATCTGCAGGAAACTGTAAAGCAAGAACCTCACAATATATGAATTCTATATATTAGAAAACCTGCTTAAAATTTACATTTTGGAAATGTCCAAGTTCTAAAGAGATTTTCTCACCTTAACTAATTTTTCTGTGTAAGGGTGAACTGCAACTGAATGCAAAAAGAATGTTCTTCTTGGATCTAGTAAGTCAACAGAACCAACAAGAACCAAATACCCAGATCTCCTTCATGTCCTACACTACTGACAGGGGTCACTAAGATTCTGTCAGCATTTTAACATCTGCTCCAATTTTTTCTGCAAGACATCAGCACCTACAAAAGGCAGAACAACAAGGATTAAGGAAGCTGCTGGTGCTTTTAAAACCTTCTAATGCAAAATGGAGTAACTGAAGACTTACTTTCTAAATGTGAGAGTGAAAAATTCTTGGAGATAGTGGAAGTATTTGAGATTTGTACATTTGTACATTTTCTTTTCATCAAAAGACTTGGTTTTGGCTTTGTATTGAATCCCAATTCTGAATGATGAATTTAAGGCCTGCAGGATACTGATACAATACCTAAACACCTTTCGTGAAAAGTTAATTCTACAACTTTCAAATAAAGAAAATTAATTTTGTAACTTTCTACAGTCCAGGCACATGGGTTCCACAATGTAATTACTCAGTAATATCTACCATAACTGGAGGACTCTTTCATCCCTACTGTAAACTAATCATCCAGAAGGGAAATTAAGTTATATCACCTTCACTGTCTAATGTATGTCTAGTAATGTTACTGAGAGTGCATTAAGCAAATACTGTTTAGAAGACAGAAACAATAATATAAGTGAATGTTTGTGGTGTTCATTCATAAGAAATGCTATATGCATTTTCTGTGTGGAGGGAGGTGATGTTTCTGTAATTCTGAATGTGAGAACTGATGCCCAGATAGTCTTTCAGATATTAAAATCCCAATGTCAATCCATCTCATCTGCATGTGCAAGAGCAACACTTCAGAAAATTAAACTGCAGGTCTTGCAGAAAACGTACCCCAGAAAGGAAGCACAGAATTAAAAGCAATAAATAAATAAATAAATAAAAAGAAAAAAAAAGAAACAAACCCCAAAACAACCAAAAACCCAAACCCAAAACAGCAAAAAGCATGAGTGACACAGCCAAGAATAAAAATCTACAAATAAAAAGAATCAAAGTCTCTCCCCAAGAAAAAAGTCCCCAAAGCAACATTCAGCTGTCCACATTAGAAGATCAGCCCTCCTCTTCCTACAGTCCTTACACACCTTCCAAGATTCTTCAACAAATAAGGCAGTAACTGCATAAAATGAAATAGTTAGACAGCAACAAATAGCAGATTAAAATTTTACATTTGAAATAATTACATACCAGGACTGAAGAGGACGATTGCTTTCAAATATGCATATTCATATCCATCTAGACACAGCTTAACCATGCTGTTACAAAACTCTTGCAATTTGAAGACATGCTCCATTACTAGTCTTCCTCTGTCTGTTGGCAGCTTATCTAAATCAACACACATTAAAAAAACCCCCAAGTTAACATACAGGCAAAAAAACCGTGTTTCATGCTGGAATTTTAAAAATTATTATTTTATTAGATTCAAACAATGGGAAATCTATGTTATCTATAAATTCTTATTTAGGTCTGAATAATTGCAACACCAACAATTATGGAGTATTAACACTCTTTTTTCCTCCTCTTCCAGTTAGGGCTCTTCCTGTCACTAACGCTTCCAGTAATCAGGCATGGACCAGAGCTTGAAATGAAAGAAAGGAAGAGACTACTTATAAGTACTTATAGGCACTTATAAGTACTTATAGGTACTGCTGACCTGTGCTGTGTGTCTGAAGATCAGGTGCCACATGGCAGGATAGTGTACAGCTTCATGAGTTATTTCAGTCAGAGACCATGCCACTCTGCTGGAAAGGTGTACTACATGCCTTCCCTGATTTGCACTGAGGGGAATATGGTTAGTGTAGAGCTGTTCCCCTGCAATAGGTAAGCAGCCTGAAAACCCCGTTTCCTCCATAACCCATCAAACTAGAGTGTCTAGACTCCACAAACTTGGCATCTCTTGGAGATGCAGCAGCTGGCATACTGCACAACTGGTTCTTGCAGTCAACCTGAATTCCCAATTTAAATGAGAGACACATGTATCTGTAATAGTGATAAAAACATGACTAGTTACTACAGTACCCTTTCTGGTAAACATACTTTAAATATTATATAGACCAAAATTTCCAGATTCCATTTGTATCTGCCTAGAGAAAATCAGAGATTTGTTAGTACCTGTAGCTAATTCAGTACATCTTGTGATTTGATTGGTTTGTTCTAAGCTATTGGTATTTATAGGAGGATCTTGTGTTTCAAATCATAAAAACCCCTGAGAAATAATTCTTTACTTACCTTATCATAAAATAAAACGAAAAATCTATAGTCTGGTAGGCTGATTTTTTCCAGTTTACCAATCTGCATTTGCATAGCATCAACAACAGTGAATTTTCATACCCCTAACAGCAAACAACTCAAAAATTTAGTTAAATCTTAAAATTCTTAATTTTTGTATATGCCCCTACCTTATGAATAATGTGTTATGACTATGAACAGGTGAAGATTATACTATTATTGACTGGTTAGCTTTTACTGCTGACAGCCTTGTGAGTACCCACAAGCACACAAAGCTTAGCTAAAAGACTCCCTTCCTGCTCAGAAGAACAGAATTAAAAAGGCCAACTGACATGTCTTTCTTTTGAATGAAAAATATGCCAAAGATGCTGGACATAGGATTAACAAGAAACAAGGTGTACTTAGTGGAGATCTGTTAAGACTTCCATGTAGATTAAAACCAATACACGGAAGTCAACAAGCCAAGCTATGTAAAGGAACTGTATTTAATCAAATTGGCATTCAGCTGCTTTGTGTCACAGCTAGGAAGAGCAAGGACAGGTGGGTCATTTTTTACTTTGTATCCTTCATACAGAGGAATCATTCACAGTACTTGTGTTCCTAACTTTAAAATATTTCTAATTTGGGCTGATGATATTAACAGACAGCAGAACACTACACGTTACAACACACAAAAATAAAAATAATACTTTTTCTTTTCATTTGGAGGTAAATATTAACATAGCTGACTTTTGCAAAATTGCTAAAAAGGTTTATCTTGTAGACTGTAGTTGCTAGTATCATTTTGTGTCAATACTAACATGAAATTCTTTAAATAGTAAATTTACAATAATAACTGAAGGATAAAGAAAGAGCTTCTGTACACTTCAAAACTTAAAAAAAATTAAGTAATTCCCCAAGTCTGGCATGTGCACAGTATACACCTTACCTTGTTGTAAACTGCCTTGAAGGTGATTAACAAAAGCAGCTAAGATCGTTGCCACATTCATAACTTGTGAGCATTGTGCCAGACCAAGCGTAAAAAGTTCATTCCAGCAGGCTTTTACTAATGATATGCTGTTATCCTGTCTATTAAAAAACACAATAACTTAATAAAACCAGCCATTTGCATTCACACATTTTTTTTTAAATTTGAGGAACACTTCATGAAACATTAATCTAATTCAATCATTATACCCAACACCAAAGTGAGGTTCTGTATAATTTTTTTTTTGCATGCTAGAATTAAAATATCTGGTTTAAAGTGACTTTTGTGAAGCAATAATTTTTTGTTTAAATGACCTAGATAGATTTCTATTACAAAAGGAAGCGGAAGTTATAGTAAATGACAACTGTTGCAATGTGCTCCATCATGCTAGTTTTCTTAGAATTTGGGACAACATTTATATACATGGACAAAAAAAAGATTGCACTTTTCCTGTATTGTGGATGTAGAACATACTTAGGGGTCTTTAGTTTTGTTTTTTTTTCACTTGAAAACTGACAGGTTGGTATAATCTTTTAATTAAAAGATAGAGGTGAAATGGAACATGTGTGATCAAGCTTCCAAGCTTCCTGACTGCTACTTTCTGCATCCCTTTCAAGTTTGAAATACAGACTTCAAAGCATAAATACCAGTCATAAGGATTTCTTTGCTGTAGATTAAAATTAAATATATCAATTCATATTCAGCCCACTTCCGTATTAGTAACCTAACTTTCAGTATTGCCAAGCATCTTTAACTCACAGAACAAATCCCACCACAGAGGAGTCAAATTCAGGTACCATATTTCACAGTTTTGGCCAGTAAATATAAATAATGGAAATTTAAAAGAAGTATAAGATCTATCAAAGAAGAAAAGCATATTAAAGCTAGGATTTCAACTACAAAAATACAGTGGAATGAATTTTTGCAAGAATGTTGATGTAATCTTCAAGAACAGTTCTGATAATTTAGTGCAATAATAAGATGTCAAATGACTGGTGAACACAGACTTGTACTTAACTGGACTACAGAGAGCTTACTGAGAGCGGTATTTTTCATTATGATCAAGTTCTTGTTATGGTAGGCATGATACACTGGACATGCATCTTCTGCACATATTTGTCACATCTTTGTTCATCTCCTTTAACATAATCAAAGGAACTATGCTGAGCACCATTAAAATAGGGTGTACTGGCTACTCCCCTGATACATGTGTGTAAATAAATATCATCTACAGCATCTTTATGGCTGATCAAAGTTACAGCAGAACCAGTTCTTAAATTTGCTTAAGCAGCCTGACAAAACTAAGAGGCTGTAACCAGCCTGGTGAAGGTTTCAGTAGGAAACTCTTGTGAGCAAAGACGTCCATGCAGGAAGATGAACTAATTAGTGTCTGGCATCGTTAACGACATCATTAGGTCAAAGGCAACTATCCTGCTGTGACTGAAGGAGAAAGTGGCCTGAGGAGGAAACAACCTAGGTAAATTATCCATCTTCCCTGCAAAATCATTACTCATCATGCTCTGTGAATTTCTCTTCAGTTTAAAAGTGAAATGAGTCACCCTTCCGAAAGTCAAAATTACAGGATATAATGTGCTCCAACTATAAATGCTGAATTAATTTCAAATAAATCTCCACTTGAAAATAGTTTGCATTTTAAGTGCTTCAAAGGAAAACTGTGAATTTATGTTATTTATATACTGTTGCCCATGATCTTGACTGGGTCTATAAATGCTATTACAGGTGAATATTAACACTATTATGGCAGCCTACTCCTCCATATTTTTTAAGCAGAAAAATATATTGTGAAATAACAGATAAAAAGAGAATGTGCAGATTTTTCTTGTTAAATCTCTTTGGAGAGAGAGGTTTTCTGTACTAAATTTTATTTTTAAGAAGCAATTCCCATTTGTTGTTAGAATACCAATTGGTACTAATTTGCAGTGTCTCTCTGTAACAAAAACATTTTTAAAACTTAGAATGACATAATGTACTATGTTTATTTGCTATACATTTTGTAATTCTACACGTCAACAATTTCTACCAAAATAAAACATCATATTTACCTATTTTTCCCCTTGCTATTCTTTAACTTTATGCAATATTCCTTTCTCCTTCGCCAAAAGACAGGCTTAATTACACACAATACAGTATCTTTCTTTAAAAACTGTAGAATCATTCAGCTGAACCATCTGAGTAAACACAAATGATAATCACAGATCCTCCTGCTTTTGACAGCTTTTCTGGAAAACGGGACAATCCCTCATTTTACAAAGGAATTCTCTTTGCTGCCACAGTCACAGGCTATTTTGATATTGAATTAAACAGAAACACTGCAGATGAGAACAAACTAACGTGATTTATTAATCATTTGTGTCAGAGCTGATACAGTATCTTTATTTGTTTGAGGTGATTTTATTTTCATAAAATTACTTCTGAATATAATATAAATCACTTCTTCCCATGTTTGGACATGTTTTTTCATGATGATCAGCAATGGACTACAAAACTGAACTTAATAATTTTAAACTATAAACTGAATTCTGATGGAGAAGCAGGATGTTATACAAACTGTAAAAAAGAACAGTTAGAATTAACTTTTGGTTACAGGAATCATTTATTTTTGGCAAATCTTCTGAGATTACACAACTTCATTCTGAATGTTTGCTGAATCTAGCTAACCAGCTTCCTCATGCAGGTTATTAAAGCAAAATTACTAGTAATTCACCTAATATGAATAAAAATTTTGGGAATTCAGACAGGAGCTTCTTTTTGGTGATTGTCTGATAAGCATCAGGATATAGCATAGAGCTGTAGATATTAAAAAGCTGATAGGAATTCCTATTTTCTCAAAATATATTTAAGAAGCAGCAGTGTCCAGGCATTCCATTGTTTTAAATCTACTCCTTTTTCTTACAAAACCCAACCAAAGTCCTGAATTTGGACTCAAATTTGGAGTAGTTTTAATTCAGAAAATTTAGCTTACAATTAAGACTTATAACAGTTTAAATTAGTAGTTTTATGTTTTTAGAAGTCCTTGAAGAAGGCAGCAAAAACTAAAAATTCAAAAGCATATATCCACAGTGTAAGCAAATAGAGTAACTGAACACTTACCCCAAAGCTTGGAAAGATGGAATGGAACGTGCCCAGTGCATGGACAAGAAAAGCAACCTGGAGGCAGACTCACAGATATAGTGAACATTAAGATAATCAGGCATAGGAGAAGGCATAGTGAGCTGCAGAAACAAAGTAAGAAGAAAAAAAGAAAAAAGAGTAAGACTGTTACTTTCTTTTCTTCATAATATGTCTAGGAAGAAATCAGTCTTTCTAGTTTCTTTTAAGTAAAAAAATAAAATTGTTCTTTAAATAAAAAAGGTATAATCCCAACACAAAACGGAATGAGTGCCTTTTGCCCTATTAGCCACACCATTATATGCTGCACTTTATATAACTACAAAGTAACAAAACGATTTAAAGATAAAGATTCATGTCTGGGACAACTGGAGATGGAAAATCTCAAAACTTCTGAGACATTCTCAAAGAATAAGAGAGAATAATCATTGTAACTGGAATGAAGTTGCTTACTTTAGAGGAGTTACAACTCCTGGAGAGAGAGTGAGAGAGAGTGAGAG